AACCCAACTTGCGAGTTTCGTGGCTCCATGGGCTAGGGTTGGGCTCTATTCATCATTCATTGAAAAGCATTGTTTGGCACCCCTACAACGTTGTCCTTGACCCCTCCATTGCATAAGCTGCTGCATAAGCGCTTTCAATTCCTGAATCTCCGAATTGAGTTTATATACTTAGTTCTGTGTCTTTGCCAGTATTTTGCTTACCAAAGGCATCTGAATCTACTTCTCTAACCATCTTATTCCATTTCCGGTTCTCTTTTTCTCTGCTCTCATTCACGCATCAAGCTCTACAGCAATCTGTAATGTTTCATCAAAGGTCACAGCTGGCCGTGCATGCAGAATTTCAAAGGGGCTTCGGACTCTCAGAGTTCAAAAAGCTGTCTTTTGCCAAAATATCTAAGCATCTCTTGTGGTGCCTTTGAGTAAGCCAAGGTGACTAGTCGTCTTATTGCTTGTTCCAGCTCTAACAGTGATTCCTTTGGTTTCCTCTGTCTCATTCGCAGCTCAGACTTGTAGAGTTCTTCAATATTCGGTGGTGCAAAGCGCTTTTCCAGTGCACTAACAAGCTCCTTTTAATGAGCTTTCTTCTCCGAGCTCAAATTACTTAAGACTTGTTAAGCTGCGTCTCTGAGACATACTGCCAAGAAAAGACATCTTTCTTTCTCCTTCCATTCTTTGGTTCTGCGCAGTACTCAAAATGAACCCTGAAATCCATCCATGGCGATGTGTTGTCAAAAATTTAAAGTGCTTTTTTTGGCCTGTGAAACTGAACACCTTTAGATATGGCTGGGCGGTGCATCACGATTTTCTTTTGTGTTTTAACTCTTTTGTAATAGCTTGATTACTTTCTATTTTTGCAATTGTCTCAACAACAGCCTATGTGCCTTTGTATACATGTACTCTCTTCACTCGGTTTTCCTTCCACTTTAGCGTCTGTCATTTTTTGGAATCTTCTTGTTCGCGTATAACTTCATTTAATTAGTGTCGCTAATAGATCATCTTGTAACATTTCTATTGACTGTCTATTTGTTTGTATCTTTCTTATCTTGTTTCGTAGATACTTTAAATGATAGCGTTCATCCTAATTTTGTTTCTGACTTTGTTGAAATTGGATATTCGTTATCCTGTATATTGTTGGACCCAGGTATGATCCATCCATTGTCGGCGTACTCCCCTTGATTGAACCATACTTCTCGGCATACGACTACCTAACGGCGTGTGCAACATGCTCGCACCTCTATGCGATCGAACGCATTTCTTCGGGCAAAAATAAAGATTCTCATAATCCCAAGACAACTTTGAAGGACTCTCTTCTTCCACCATGTTGATGTGCACTCCCCCCCCCCCCCCCAATATTTTCCCAATTCTGTTTTTTCTTTGTCTTCACCTCCTAATGCCTTTATGTATGAAGGCTGATAGTTTCTAATGCCACCGCTGCGACCAATTTGTTACGGGATTTGTTTGCTTTATTAATTTTTAGAAATAAAAGATGGTACGTTCATGTGATTTAATATGAATGTCAATCGTTCAAACAAAAATGGCGTCAGCGCTGCACAATCTTAATATTCCTGTAACCTTAATTAGGTTTAAGAACTATTTCCTGATCAGCGTTTTCTTTGCACTCGAACGGGACGTAAAACAACATACAATCAATCAATCAGTCTTTGCAATTTTAAATTTCTACTTTTATTCATAAAATAACTCCAGTTTAATTAATTGAACTATAACATGAGTATTCTTAGAATTCAATGAAAACGACATTAATTCTTCTTAACATCACGTCAAACATCAGTGAGAGCGCACGGTCCGTGATCGGAAGGTCGTGTTTTCGAATCACGACCGCAACTGACCTAAGTCGATAAAAGATATGTACTTCGCCAAGCGCTAGCGATCGGCACTTTGAACTGAAAGTTTGGGGTCCTTCGGACGAGACCTTAAAAATACAGGCCCCGAGTCGCGGTAGGGATTGGCACGAAAAAGAACCGTCAGTGCTCAATGGCCCTAAGTGCCGAGTAAATGTCTAAATTTGAAGCCCTTAACCGGTATATGGTGACGCTCTATATAAGTGAAAAATTCTCGAACGGGATTCAATCAATCAATCAAACATCAGTGTTTGTAAACATTTTACCGGGTGTTCAATTAGTTTACTCTGCACACATCAGAGCACGGACTGACAATACTAGTGTGTGGTTTTGCTTTCTCACATCTATTCTGAATTTTCTGAATGATAGTTTTTAATTTTTTTCATTAATACACAACAAAATTTCAACTTTTTTTAAGTTTACGTATTGAAGGTCACAAATGCAATGATATATGTGCCAATCAAACGCGCCCAGAAATTCGTAGTTTAATAATTTCCAGATAAAAGAAGTTTGTAAACACGCTTTTATTATATTTCGGTGTGAAATGCTCTAGCAACATATAATTGTATAAATCATGATACACAAAATGTGTTAGAAAATATTAACTTCAAATCTGTGTCTATGCCTTAATTTTTAACCACTCCCAAGTTTATATTCGGTGATCTGGATTTATCCGATCCTGGAAGTTCATGCCATTCAGAACCGCCGCCTTTAGAGAGTCTGACAGAAGTTCAGAGTTGGTCGAAGTGGTACTTTAATTCATTTTGATTATTTATTCACTAATGTATCTCAGTATGGAATATTTTTTATGATTATGAATGCTAACTTCCATTCCCTTTCTACTGGACGAATTACATGCAATCTAACTAAGCTGTCATGTACTTGACTTTCACAAAATTTTGTTTTCTGTCAGCGGCTGTTTGTATGAGGCGCCGTTTTTCTATTTTTTAGGTATTTTCTGATATCAGAAAATGATATCCTGATATCAAAAATTCAATTGCCTGATATCAAAAATTCAATTTCTTGATACATCAAGAATTATTTTTTGATACCAAGTCATTCAAGAATTATTTTTGGATATCAAGAATTATATTTGGATATCAAGAATTCTATTTTTGATATCAGAAAGTACTTCAAAAATACTAAAATGACACCTGATATGTTTGACTGTTGCAGCAGGTAGCATAGATTGCTTTTGCTGTGTACACAGGAGAGGAGAAAAATGCGACAAACGAGACCGAGTTTGAACCCAGACCCCCTGAATCTCCAATCAGGTGCTCTACTAACTGAGCTATCTTGCCACGATCGAACCTGTCTGACCACCACATTCCTCCTTCCTTAAAGGTCCTCCCCCCCCCCCCCAAATACACCAACCCAGATTCCTCTCCTGCAGGTCCCCCCACCCACCACATTGTGGTCACAGGACCAAATGTAACAGGAGAGTTGAAAATGTGACAGACCAGACCAGGATTTGAACCTTTGTCCCCTGAATCGCCAGTCAGGTGCTCTTCCAGCTGAGCCATCTGACTACCCGCAGTTGAACCTGTCTGACCATCATAGTTGGAAGCGGTGGAATATATGTCTGATTTTAAAAAAAGAGACCCTTACCTATTGATTTTTAGCTTAAAAGTCAAGGTTAGAAATCATTATATTCCATTAAATCCGAGTGAAATTTGATTCACGAAAGCCAACAAATAGAAAAAATGTTACCATGTAGCACTTGAATTTTGGTAACATGGCTACAAAAAACTGTGGAATTTTAATCCATCCCTCTTTTTATCAAATTACAGGGAGAAACCACATTTTCTGTTAAGACCAGAATTAAAATATGACATACTTCAGAACAGTGCCAGACTATACTTCTGACTTCTGCCCCTACATTGAACCCTGTGAACTGTTACTCATACTAATGGCAAGTGTTTTTAAATGTCAAGACACATAAAACAATACTGAAGCTACTGCAAATTTTGATACCTTTAAAAGTGCTACACCTGTAATTGGTATTCATTTATTAATAACTATCATTGTATGTATTGTATATCAATTCTGCTTGATTATAGTCTGTATACCTATATATGATGGGTAATTTCTGCAATTCCAAATTTTTGTAACTTCAGTATGCATGTAGACAGTATATTCATCATTTTACAGTTTTTTAGACTCTAGTCAATCTACAATACCAAAGAAGTATAAATCTGAAATATTTGTCATTCTATTTTTTTTTTTTTTTGGCCAAATTGTCAAGTTGTACAGAAAGGTATAAAAGTTCTACAAAAATTTAATAACTGCGGAAATGACCTGTTAAGTGTAGCGTTTAAAGGGGCCTGGACACAAGTTGTATTGTGGTATTTGCCATTGTTTACTCTGAATTTTCTGGATTATATTAATAATATTTTCATTTTAAATACACATAAGACAACAATTTTAGACTTTTCTAAAAATATTAAGGATAAATTATACTTTGTGAAAGTGCAGCATGTGCAAGGATGTGTGTCAATCAAACACATCCTAAAAGTTGTATACGGTTTTAATAATTTTCAGATAAAAGAAGTTTCTAAATGCACTTTAATCAGTCTGAAATGCACAAGCAACATGTAAGTTGCGATAGGATCTGAAAAATATTAGAAAATATTAATTTCATATCTGTAAATCCAAGCCCCTTTATAGGTAGAAATCTTATCTACTGTATGTTATTCTTAACTGTATACTTAACTCTGAATAAGATACCAGTTACATGTACAAGGAGTATTTTGAAAAGTGATGATAATGATTATTGTGTGATAAAATTCGAACTGTACGTACGTCAAATAGATTCAAATGTTTTTTAATATTGAAAAGATTAGAGAATTAGTTCATATATTGCATTTTTGGAAGAAAAATTTCTGTTTATTATTGAATAGAAAACGTAGGGAGGGGGGCTTGTATTGGATGAGGGTTTTAAGAGGTTGATTTTTTTTTATACACATTTGATGAAAATCAATTGAACATAATGTAAGTTTAAATCACAGTTTTGTTTTGAGAAAAAAAAAATGGTTTTAGTCTTACATGTACAATTTATTTATCAATACAAAGTGTAGACTGAAGAGTAACTTATTAATACCCAGGTCAGTAATTTATGACAATTTTATTTGTTTAGGTGAGTGTAGTCCTGTATGTCATTTCTATTGCCAAGAGAGGAACACTGTTGAACAGACAGACAAGGACAGAGCTATCACTACTGAGGGATACCAGCACAGAGACTGAGAACCAGCACACAACTGCACAAAGTGCACAAGGTTTTACGCGTGTAAACATGGATTGTGAAAAATTCAGTCGCTTACTCCAGTCTGAAAATCTAAGAGACTTAGGAGATTCTCTGATAAAGAGTGATGACTGTCCTGTCAAGAACGAAGATGATCACAAGAACTCACTGAAACCAAGAACCTCCAGACCCAAAGGGAAATGCAAACAAACTCAGACATTGTTAGAAATGACCAATCAACAGTTAGAGCAGTACAAGCATTCCCCAGAGACTGAGCTAGCAGAGCTAGTATGTAGTGCCTGCAAGACAGAGAACTTCTCAGAGCTCACGGATTATTTAGAGGTACTATTATTTCTGCAACTTTCAAATTTTATGATGAATTTTGCAAAGGTTAGTTTCAGATTTTCTTGAAAATGCCTTTTCTTTCATCTATTCTTAATTTTCTTTTATCTGCCTTAATGTATTTATTCTTTCAGTTGCTTTCACTGAATTTTTATTTTTATGGACTTGTCGTATCAACATTAAGTTAATGTTTGATAAAAATGAAGCTATATTTTGAATACATATAGTAATAAGTTCATGAATGGCCTACACTACTAAGTTTAAATTTTTTAAAAGATTCCCACTACTTGAAGACTAGGGCAGGGCTTATTAGCTCACCTGAGCTTAAATCTTCTTCTCAAGAACCACTAGGCCAGAAAAGCTAAGACTTATTTGGAAGCTCCTGAGGACAATGTAGATTCTAAATTGTTCAAATCATGGCCTCCAGGAGTAGGGTGGGACCACAATTGGGAATCAAACTTTTACGTTGAAATATATAGGAAAAAGCTTTAAAAGTCTTCTTCTCAAGAATTGGTGGACCAGAAAAGGTGAAACTTATGTGGAAGCTTCTTGAGGTAGTGTAGATTGTAAATTGTTTAGATCTTTGTCCCTGGGATAGAGTGGGTCCACAATAGGGATTACATAGGGCAAAATTTTTAAAACTTCTCTTCTCAAAATAGCATAGCCATGATGAATCATATTTATGTGGAAGCATCCTCTGGTAGTGTAGATTCATTTTTTTCAAATCATGGCCCCAGTATATATAGGACTGGGTCACAAAAGGCAATCAAAATTTTACAAAGGAATTCATGTATATTGGGAAGAAACCTAATGCAGAACAGCAGGGTCAAAGATACTCAGGTGAGCATTGTGGCCAATACACCTTTTATATTACACACCAAGTTGAGAACTCTAGAAAATAGATAAGTAAAATTGGATTCAGTCTGTGATTTATGAAATCAAATCCTTAATGATATTAGAATGAGGCTTGAATTGTGTATAAGGCTTAATGTACATGTATTGTAAAATATGATATATTGTAAACTGTGATGTTATACAGACTAATATTGTAGGTTGCGGTGATATTTTATAGATTACGGTGATATAATTGTTAAGTTGTGGTTTTTAATTTATGATATTTTATAGATTGTGATGGTATTTTGTAGGTGGTGGTTGCTGTGGACCCTTCAGTGATCAATGAGACAGACAGTGCAGGAATGACAGCCCTTCATTTTGCAGTGTCCTGTAAACATGTGAGAATTTCTATACCTTCAATGAATCAGTGATTAACTATTAAAAAAATAAAGAATGATTGTTTATCTTTAGTACTTTGCAAGATGTGAACTGAAAAACTGAAGTTCAGTTTAAATCCCTGTGTAAAGTGAAGTATCATTAAACTATCATGATTTATAATATTTAACTGCATGTCCATGAAAACATAAATGCTGGTTAGTAAGTAGATGCATTATCATGGGATTAGGGGTGAAACGATACACCTCCTTCACGGTTCGATATGTATTGTATAATTTTGTCTCGGTACGGTTATTTTCGATACGATACATTTCGATAGAAGGAAACAAATTCAACCTTGTTTTATGCTTTCTTTTACTAAATCTAGTCACTTAATTTACGAATTTTTATTTGCAAATTGACTAGAAGAAATTGATTAGAATTTTTGACTGTCAAAAATTATTTTACAAACTATCAGTCATCAAAAATTTACGTTTTCTATACTTATTTATACTGAGTAACGTGTTTTACCTTATGTCAAACCCGACTGAATAACGATCCCGACCAAAAAATGAACCGAACCGAAAATTAGAGATTTTGCACCATGTATCAAACCGAAAAAAAAATACCGCGGTGAATCAATACCGCGGTGAACCGTTTCACTCCTACATGGGATGTTTATTGATGTATAAGAAAATTATTGTGCTAATGAAAACCATTTCTTGATTCGTAAAATCAAATCCTTGAAATTTACAATTTGCATTTGCATGGGATGCTTATTTGTATAAGTAAATTATCATGCTATTGAATACCATGTTTTTTGAATTGGCAAAACAAATCCTTGAAATATACAATTTGCATTTTCTATGACTTTATCTTTGTAATAAGAAGGTAAATTTAATACCTTTGTAAAAGGCAGGTTTTTATAATAATCTATATGTATGTAATGGAAATCGATGTACTTTAGCTGCATGTAGTAAGCATGCTGATGAAATATGGTGCTGACATAAAAATTCCTGATGGACTTGGGTTCACTCCCTTGTTTCTGACCACAGGTATATCATTAAATGCGTTTCTATTAACTGCATGATTACTTTTATTAGCCCCGTTCTTTTTAAGATGAAAAGATTTACTAATATTATAATTATTACTGTGTACTAGATTTTAAAATTAAAGAAAAAGGGAATTTTTACCAGGCAGTACACATAAATCGTTGAAAGAGAGGCAACAAAAAGTATAAGGTTATATCATATAATAATTACTTTTAATTGTTATGCTACTAAATTCTATTCAAATGAAATAATGTAAGCTGTAAGATTCCATGGGTTGTAATAAAGTATTTTTCTCTGCCCTGTTTGCATGTTTCTAAACAGTTATTGTATTATCTTGAATTTTTTTTACAGTTATAGGCTCTTCACACATATTTGAAGCAGTTTATCATCATTATAATTTATACTAACAATTAATAGGTTGAAGGGAAATATGACAGTTCAATTTATGCTTGCAACTTTTTGTTTATAATCTTTCACTGAGTATTTTGAACATCCTTAAGATTATTATCAGAATGTTTCCTCAATTGTAGTTTTCATTTGCTTTTCCTTCTTTTTTTCAATAAATTGAAATTTTGAATTAGGTCTTAATTGAGCACTTATAAGTGACATATTTGTGACAATTTTCATTTGCAATTCATACTTTTTGAAATTAATCTGCATCTGCAAATTTTTGCTACTGAGGAAACAATCTACACATTACTGTAACACATTGTACACAATTAAATAAATGGCTCAAAGCAAAAATTCTTGAGTAAAAGGTTTGAAAACTCAAGGTATATATCTCACACACTGTAAAAAAAAAGTTTTTTTATAGTATTTTAATACAGACTTGAGAAGAGCAGACAAGTGGTCGTGGGTCAACTTTTATTTAATTTGATATTTAAAGGGCGTTATCCATGTGAAAAAGTGACAGAATTTCTGCTGAAACATAGCGAGGTTTCTGATGTCAACCACCAGACCAGAACAGGGGCCACTCCCCTCCACGGGGCTGCTCTGCAGGGAAATCTGGGTTAGTATCCCTCTGGTATGATGGCCAGTTACATTTTGAGGTTAAATGAGAGTGTATAAATGTGAAACATATATATGAAGTTTGAAAAATATTTCAACAGAATTGCCCTTCAAATCAGTAGTTCAAACTTTAGTCTGTAATGTACTTGTGACTTTATTAATTACTTTTATACATTGATCTGTTGTAGTGGTAATACAAGTTTATCAGTGATATTGATAACATTAAGTATAGAGCATTGATATATTAACAAAGATTTACAAGTATACATATAAATATGCATGCATGTAGACATGGTAAACTTTCCCAGAGTCACTTAGAGTTAGCACAGTTGCTAAAAGAGTTCCATCTGTAGACCAATATATCATCTGATCATGACATCCAATATACAATTTCAAACATTAATATTAAGTAGAGACCTAATTCATGCTTTACCAACTATATAAAAAATTCTGAGAGTCTCTATAAAAGTGAACAGGCTGTATGAAAATGTAATGTTCTTTAATTTTACAGAAAAAATTATGTATCAATTATCAGCAAAGCCCTCAATTCAAGACAATAAACTGTGTAATTATAATGTAAAAACAGTTTATACTTGTAATGTTTTGAATAGGCATTGTGCTCTTAAAACAGCTTGAAATGTCCATTTTGGAGTTAGAAATAAAGATGCAGTGCAAGAATTTAAGTCATAATACATCATAATACACATTTACATAGAGATACAAAGTACATAGAGAAATTTAAAATTACATATACTTTTAATAGATAGTCACTTATGTGTTTTCCACTAAAACTGAACAGTATTTAATAGGATTAAATAATGATCTTTTGTGAACCTTGTTCTTTGTTGAAATATATATATTTTTGTCAGATTTAATCTAATGTTTCAATTTATCATTGATTCAAATGAAATAAGTAAATTGTGATAACAGGTTGTATCAAGTTGCTGCTGGAACATGGAGCAGATCCAAAACTGGAAGATGAAGATGGCACCACAGCACTGGAACTGGCCAAGGACAGTGCAACAAAATCAGTGCTTCATATGTACTTAATCCAGTCAGATATCAAACGAGATACTGTTGGTAAGAACTCATGCACTTACTCCAGTCAGATATCAAACTAAATGCTGTTGGTAAGAACTCATGCATTTAATCCAGTCAGATATCAAATGGGATACTGTTGGTAAGAACTCATGCACTTAATTCAGTCAGATATGAAACGGGACACTGTTGGTTAGAACTCATGTACTTAATCCAGCCAGATATCAAACGAAATACTGTTGGTAAAAACTTATGCACTTAATCCAGTCAGATATCAAATGGGATACTGTTGGAGAGAACTCATGCACTCAATTCAGTCAGATATCAAGTGGGATACTGTTGGTAAGAAGTCAAGCACTTAATCCAGTCAGATATCAAGTGGGATACTGTTGGTAAGAACTCATGCACTTAATCCAGTCAGATATCAAACGGGATAATACTGTTGGTAAGAACTCATGCACTTACTGTGAAATCACTAATATTCATAGGGGTTTAATTTTCTTTGTTTTTCGAGTTATGAAGAGACCCAAGAATTCATATCCTCCACAAATTGTAAAATGTCATAGACATAACTACTCAGCAATTCTTTATCCACAAAATCAAATCCCCACAAACTCATAGTTTTTCCTAAAACTACAAAACTTTGACACCAAGAAAGTATTTGATTTTAGTACAATAATCTAGTCTGATATCAAACGGAATATGAATGGTAAAGACATTTGTCCTTATTTCAGTCTGATATCATATGGGATACTGATGGAAAGAAAATATATACTTCATCTAGTCATGCAGGTATCAAATGGGATACCATTGCTAAGCACATGTGAGGAATGATACATTTGGTAAGAACATATGCAATTAATGTAGTTTGAAATCAGTCATGATAACATTGGTAAGAATTGGATGTCAATTAGGGTTTCATGGATAAGAATACATGCTCTCAATCCAGTCAGGCAACAATCAGGATACTGTTGGTAAGAACACATGCACTTCAATTTTCAACCGGTAAGATAGCAATCAGGATCAGTCACCTTGTAACCTATAACATGCAAATATGATAATTTTAAGTAAAGGTATTGACACTGTTGAATTTTCTTGAAGATGCTGTATGTGTGCAGTGTAAACAGATTCCAAAAGAAGGTCTAAAGCGCTGTGGGGCGTGTCATGTGACCATGTACTGTGGCAAGGCATGTCAGGTTCGTCACTGGCGAGAGGGAGGACACAAGAGAAATTGTCCAGGTTAGTCATAAGAAAAGCACAGTAACTATACATGTATAATGCTGTATACTTTGTAAGCCTTTGTTAATCAGCTTTATTTGTCCTCTGGACATATCTTTTGGAGCTGAGTTCTAACATATTACAAATAGATCAAATGTTCACAATCAAAGAATTTTCTGCTAACTTTAGCCATTGTAAACATCATGGACCTATCAGTGTAATCATTCATATATATCAAATACATTTCATGGAAATCTGAGGTTAGTAACAGTGACTTAAAGTTGAAGTCACTTGACATGTTGGTTATGATTTCTCAACTTTTTTTCATTTTTAAAGAGTAATTTTTAAAATCACAAATATTTCATATAAATGAAAAATTCAATGACCATAAAATTAAAATTGCCAAGAAGTGTACCAAGATAGAAAACCATTAAACTTTAAACATGGAATTAAATAGTTTGTTCTAGATTGTAAACGGTAGATATGTATATAAGATTTTACAGTTGTCTATTTATTTGAACAGGTTCAGTGATTGCCAGACCATTTCGTTTAGGAGAGGACCCAAGCCAAAACTGTGTACAGGTGTCATTTTACAGGGTCATGGGGTCAAACAAGCCAAATGTCAAGGTCTTCAAAAGGACAGCAAAGGATGCTATCCAGAAAATGAAATTCATAGAGAGGAAAAGATTTGTGGTCAAAGTTCAGCTTCCTCTAAATGCTGTGGGTAAGGCTCCTCCCCCAGTTAAATAATGCCCAGAATTAAATGGTCCTCCTCATCTGGTATGTAAGTCTACCTGGATGAGGTACAGATCAAGATTGGATTTTGTTCAGTTTTGACGAGTTTTGGTGGAATTGCGGTTCTTTTCAATTATTTCATGAGATTTTCTGAACTGTAATAAATATGCTGTTTTCCTTGAAACAATATATGTATCCCCAGTTACCTGTTCTAAACTTTATTTCTTTAAATACAACCCTTATTTCCACTGTTTAGGTGATAGTGAGATGATGGTGTACAATGCAGACAGAACTGTCGAAGGATATGTCTATCCTAATGAACCAGGTATACCTTAACACTCTGCATCTGAAATTGATTGAAAAGACTATGGTTTTGTTTAATTTAAATTAAACTTGGCACAAATGTGGACTTCATGAAGGTCAATGATTTGATACCTATAATTATATATCATCTATTTCTTCTTTTGTACAATGAGAATTGTTTTATATGTTTCGTTTTATATGTATCGTTAAGTTTTTCTGAACTAGAGATGGGTAGAGCTACCACAGTCTTGTAAAAGACTTGTACTGATCCTTTAATGTACATGTAATTGAGACATTCCTTACTATTTATCCTATCTACAGGGTATTTAAACCTGCAGAAGAGGATTCAAGTGGATGGATATCGCGGAATTAAGGCATTTTTCTGGGCAGAACTAACAGATAAAAATGACGGCACCTTCCGCATCTTTGGTGGAAAATGTGCTCCCTATCAGACTTGGTGAAAAAATGGCTGAAAGAAATTATACTCCTTGTTGACCTGGGGAAAAAATAATGTTAATATCACAGATAATTAAGGTGATCTTACTATAGTTTGAAGCAAGCCATCTACATGACTTTAAATTTGGAAGCAACAAATCAGTAGTGATGAGAAGAAAAAGATTCATACATTGTATACATGTCTGTTCTAGTTTCATATTAATTCAACTTCTTGGGAAAAGAAGCTTTAGTTGAAAGGACAAAATTTTAAATCAGCATGCAATTGATAAGTAGCTTCAAGAAATTTGTTATTAGGTATATTAAATGCAAAGCGTATTATGACAATTACATGTATTTTTGAAAAGTGCAAAGCAGCAGTTTATTGAGCAGTGCTTATTTTACACTTGTTCATTTCTTTACTTCTATTACAAAGTTGTAGATTTTTTCTTTTTACATTTATTTAGAAGATTCATTTATACAAGGTTACTGTTGTAATTTTTCTATATACATGTAATAATTTGTAATTTTTTTCTACTAATAGTATGCAGAAAGATTTGTTTTTATAATAAGATTTGTTACAAAATACCCCATAATTAATGGGATGCAATTGGTTTACCAAAGTAAAAACATTTAGAGCAGAATTGATTTTGTGTGTGAACCTCTTCTTTCTTTCTATGATAATTCATGATAATAAAATCTTTCTTGTTCAAAGTATTGGTCCTCTCTGGTTTTTAGCTCATCTGAGCTGAATAAACCTTTTTTACATAGTGTAGAATCAAATTTGTTCAAATCGTGATTCCCGGGGGTAGGGTGGGGCCACAATGGGGGATCAAAATTGTACTAAGTAAAATTTAGGAAAAAGTCTTTTTCTCAAGAACAGCAAAACCATTATTAGTCATATTCATATGGAAGCATCCTTAGGTAGTGTAGATTCAAGTTTGTTCAGATCATGACCCCCGGGGTAGGATGGGTCCACTATGGGGAATCAAAGTTTACATAGGAATATTTAGGAAAAAATCTTCTCAGGAACTGCAGAGCCATCATTAATCATATTGATAAGGAAGCATCCTCAGATAGTTTCAAGTTTGTTCAGTTCATGACCCTGAGGGGTAGGGGGTGAGGCTACATCTATAAAATCATGCCACTGGGGTAGGATGGGGTTACAGTAGGGATAAAAGGTTTGCATAGGGATATGTTATAGAAAAAATCTGCTGATAAAGAACAGCAGGGCCATATTGACTCAGGTGAGCATTGTGGACCATGGGCCTCTTGTTTTGGAAAAGAACTTTTTTTCAATTTGAAATATATACAGATGGATATCTTTGCAGACAGCACTAGTACTTTAACAGTCAATTTCCCTGACATGCATTGTTGTACAATTAACATATGCATTCTGATAATGTTTGTGGCCCTGCATCAAAATGTACAGTAAGTGGCCTATGATAATAAGTATGTTAATTTATGTGAAAGATATCTTGGAATACTTTGAACAGAATTGCTTCATATTCATAGAGGATGCTTGATTAAAGATCAAGATAAAAAAAAATCAAGGTTATTGGTTTGTTAAACACTTTTATTTAATGTGAAATGTAAGAACCAAAATTATTCCTACATTTCCGGAGCATTATGCATGCACATCTGAGGATTTCAGTACAATTAAACTTTAATTTATATGAACTGGGAAAAGTTGCTTCCTTGGACTGGTAACAATTTGATACTGGAGTTTGAGAGGTCATCTGTAAATGACCTAACAGGGTCAAGACATCCTCTAACTACCATAACTTTTTTTGGGGGGGAGGGGGTTCAAATGAAGTTCTGTCCTAGTTCATTTACAAAGTATGGACTGGAAGAAAATGGTACACTTACAAATCTAATCTTTACCAAAATATCTGACAAACCCACTGATCATAAGCTACTTTTCTCCCAACTAAAAGCTTGTATTGCTGCATTCAATTTTGGACAAAGAAAAATATTTTAACCAAACCTCAGAATTTTGATTCATCGTCACTAAGCACACTGATCAGTCTTAATGTTTACTTATGAAATAGCTACATGAAGCAAGTTGCAGACAGAAAGACACTGACCAAAATCAACTCTGGTATATCCACCCACTCCTAAATATAACCCCCTCCGGGAGTTAAATAGGCTATTATCGCTCATTTACACCAGCAAAGTGAATCTGTGTTTTTCATTAACATAAGAGTGACTTTTTTATGATAAACAACATTTCTTTGAAATCAAAAAACAAGTTCTCAGTCCTTTGACCGATTGATAATAATTCAACAAAAGCAGTTATCTGATCACCAATCTCATTTCCAGTCTGATTAAATGCCATTCTTGGAATAAAGGAGCAAGTGGGAGGTTTGATTTTACATGTAATCAGACTTATGCAGTGTGCATTAATTTTATGGAATGTGGGACGCATCTCATTGCAAGAATTCCTTATTTTGTCAAAGAAGATGGGCGTACTTGGTGTGCGATCTGCAGGAATCATGTGTACGAAACATTTATGGTTTAAATGTGCACGATTTGGTCGACTGACCATTAGTGGACAGACCTTGCAAAGTTATGCACACAGGAAAATGTTTAGATTCACATTGATTTGGAATAGCTTGCAAATTTGAAATATTTTAGTCCACTTACTTAATAGTTACGATAGCACAGTAACACTTCCTATAAATAATAAACACATAACAAGATAATAGCGTATGATATACATGTATGAAATGAAGTTCAGTAGGTTTGAAAAATTGCTTTCGCTCCCGAACCAAAATTTATCTCTTTTAAAACTTTTATATATGAAATAAAATTCAACTGATAAACGACTTGATTGTTTGTATAAAAAAGGGGAAAAAAATAAAATGCTCCGTGCGAGGATCGAACCAAAAATTCGACTCCTAAGTGTATTAGAATTGTAACGCATACGACTACCCATACATTCTGGAATTTTAAATGACAAAGAAGCAACGCATTTACACATTGGTATATTTTGGAAAAAAGTTCATTTTTTATAGTCTCTTGGCTTTCTCTCCATTTTTTTTTTTTTTTTACAAATGTTTGTTCGTTTCTTTGAATACAAATGCACACAAACAGGCGCGGATACAGGAATTTTTTCCAGGGAGGGGGGGGGGGGAGGGTCCATCCCAGTCAAAAAAAAATTCTAACCCAAAAATTTCTTGACAAGCAAACAAAAAAAGGGGGAAAATCCTTTTTCCTTAGGTGAAAAGTCCTATTTCGTGGTGATAATGGTGGGTTTTCTAGGGGGGTCCAAAGTCATTTTTTTTATTTGCTTCAGTATATACTTTTTATAACTCTGCAAATTCCAGAGGGGGGGGGGGCTGTCCCGACCCCCCCCCCCCCCCAGATCCGCGCATGCACAAATGTCTTTTTAAAATCATGGAGAGATAACCCAGAGAAAGCAATTTTTTAGAAAAACGTGTTTAAAAATGTAACATTTTGTACAAAATGACTCATCTAGCCATGTTTCAAGTTATTTTTAAGGAAATCAAAACACATTATAGGGGAAATATTTTAGTGTTTAAAAATCTTCTCAGCAACCATTGAGCAGATTATCACAAACTTATACGTATAAGGATGATGATATATGTTGTAGATTATGCCTTGGGGCAAAGACACTTAAAAGTTGACATAAAACGATGTTTTGTTGAAACTGATATTTTGCCCAGTATAAGGACTAGGATCATCAAATGTTCTCAGTTGATGCATCTTAGGACCTCATGTCATGTTGATTCACAATGTTGAATTATAAAAAAGTATTTTCAAATTGATTTTGATGCATATCTTGGGACACTTTGAAGCCAATGATCAACAAAACAGTTTATGCATCATTGGGCTTAAGTGTGTCAATTGGAATAAAGATCACGATGACCTATTTTCTGAATTTTATGTCTAATCATTTTCAAAAACAATGTGGTTCTTTTTTGGGATACCGAGAGTTTTAGAATTATCAAACCTTGAAAGTTGATGCATCTTTGGGTCTTGAAACTTATTATGAAAAAGTAGGTTACGGTGACATTCTTTTTGAATTTTGCAAGTTTTCATTTTCAAATTGTTTTAGATGCATATTTTGGACACTGGGAAGCCTTGGATCATCAAACCTTATCAGTTAATGCACCCTAAGGTCTCAGAGTATAACAACTAAAAAGTAGGTTACAGTGACCTATTTTTGGAATTGCATGGTGATATTTGAATATTTCAGATACTTATTGGCTTAGAATCATAAAACTTTCAATGCATTATCCAAGTATTTCTAACAATAAGAGACTTAGAATCATCAAACTTTGTCAGTTGATGCATCTTGGGTTCTCAAATATACAATCAAAAAGTAAGGTCACGGTGACCTTTTCACAGATATATCTAAATATTTCGGATAGTACGAGGCTTCAAATCATCAAACTTTGTCAGATGATGCATCTTGGATCTTTGAAGTGTTTCAACCAAAAAGTAGGTCACTGTGACCTATTTTTGGAATTTCACACTTTTATCTCAATATTCAAGATAATAATAGGCTTAAAATCATGAGATTTTGTCATTTTATGCATATAAGGTCAGCTGAGTGTGTCAACTAAAAAGGAGGTCACAGTGACCTACTTTTGGAATTTCATAGTTGTATCTCAATATTTAGGATATTAAGAGGCTTAGAATCACCAAACTTTGTTAGTTGACTCATTTGGGTCATCGGATTCTGTCAACCAAAAGTATTTCACAGTTTTTGAGTATTTGACCTACTTTTGAAATTCCATGGCTATTTCTGAATATTACAGATAATAAGAGGCTTATAATCATCAAATATTGTCAGTTGATACAACTTGGGTTCTCAGGGTGTGTCAACCAAAAAGTAGGACACAATGATTTACTTTTTGAATTTCAAGGCTTTATCTATTTTAAATAGTTAGGATACTAATATAAGAGGCTTAGAATAGAAGTGACAGGGTTATGCAATTTTTCAGAAGAGTGATTCTAGGCCCTAGCTTGGTCCCTTTTTTGTTTGTTTGTTTGTTTGTTTTTTTGTTCTACTTTGAAAAGTGGCGATCGGGAGGGGGGGGGGTTCGCCAAAATCTTAAATTAAGCTCATAATAGTCTAGCAATCATGTCCTTATGATTAGAATCTAATCAGTTTTAATTTATTAAAAAAATCTTTCTATGATGTAAAGCATGAGGAAGTGTTGTTCAACATGCATTAGTTGGATATTTATTTTATTTGATTCATTAACTCTTGCTTAATCCCTAAAATTTATTGCTATTGTCTTCGAAAAATCAGATACTAGTATTTAAGTGTACACATTTCATATTCTGATATCGGAATCGATGCAATGTAAATTATTGATGGTATGATAAAACAGTTAAATTATATATATATATTTTTTGAGTTGGTAATATTGTGCTTTGAATTCCTTAGATCAGACACATTTCCTCTGACCTTGCCTTAGGAAATTAATCCTATCTTGGGGAACCACAATCAATGATACATGTGTAATTGTTTGTACATGATTATATTTCAATTTACTTGACTTCACATTCAATTTTCATTCGTGAAGCACTGATACATGTACATGTTTTTTGTTGTCGACAGTAAGTCTGGCAATGTATATTTCTATGCACATGTTGCGAGGCTCAAAGTTCCATAATCACTCGGGTATGTCATTAACAAAACAGGTATGTTCTCTCTCCTTGATCTAAAATAAAAAAAAAAGATATGTCTATGAAATAAAAAATGGAAAATTTAATTTATTAATTAAATTAATAACAATTTTTAAATTCTCTGTATTAGGGAGCTTGTGCTCGATATAAGGCACTGGGTCTCAACAATTAGAAATATTACATATGATATGTGCATGCTTGCATGCTTTTTGATAATATGATTTAGTTGTGCTTTTTTTTTCAAAGTTTAAAGTCGAATATTTAAGAGGCTCAAACTAACCTTATAATTAAGTCATCAATTTAAAGATAATTAAAAATCAGTTTACTATAACCCTACCGGCAATGTGAAAATAAAGTCCTGAAAATTATGTCAGAAGGGTAACCTCTGTGCCCTAGCTATTCTGTGGCGGGGCGTATATCAACCACACAAGAAGAGGCCCATGGGCCACAATACTCACCTGAATAGCCCTGGCCCTACTTTTTTCCAGATCTTTAGAAGATCTATAAGATATTTTCCTCTTTTTCCCATGAAAAAATTCTATCCAGCTCACAAGAGATAATGACAACCAAAATTTACTTTACACAAACATGGGGATGCTTTAATATTAATAAGACTAACATTGCCTTGTTGTTCTTGCTAATTTTTTTTTTTTTTTTTTTTTTTTTTTTTTTTGCTGCATACGTGCTCATGCATTATGTAAAATTTAATCCTCAAATTTAGCCCCACACTAATTTCAGGATAATTTTTTTTTTTAGTTTATTCAAATATGAGAATGTTTGCATATTAATTTGATTGTGTGTGTGTGTGTGTGTGTTTTCTTTGAGATTTTTCTACCCTATGAACAGTATTCCGGTGAAAGAATTTCTCCCCTATAGTGGGTTTGTTTTCGATAAACGTAGTACCTGTGTAAAAAAGATAGAGACACACGATTTTGTAATTGCAATCCCCTCCCTTCCCGGCACCCAAATTTTTTACCAGTTTCATTTACAAACCAGTAGAGCTATATTCTCGTCCAGTTTGTGTTCGACATGCTAAGTGGTTGCTCATTGAAGCAAAATCAACAAATCACACAATCTGAGCTCGGATCATTTCTCCCAAATTAGTAGTGGGTTTGCTGGTCACAGAAGTCTTTTTTGTCTTTTATTAAAATCATAATAGGCTACAGACATCACATTATAGCAATGTTAACATCATATCAGATACCAGTTAATTAATTAACAATATACAAAAATGTAATCAATATCATTCTAATGTCTTTACAGAAAGATCACCTAAATCATTATAAATATTGCTTCTAATCTGACCAATCTTCTTGAGAACATCATCTTGAATATTAAATATAAGATTCCAGTCTTTCCCGTAAGAGATTTCTCTCAGACAATATCTCATTTTGTAATCTACATTTCATCTTATACATAATGAAGCTAATAAAGGCTAACAAATTATTAAAAAGCAAAGTTTTTTCACTACTTTCATTATAAAATCCAAGTACAATTAATTCCAAGTAATATCAAATTTGAGAAAAAGGCTAACTTTTTTCCCATATGGGTTCAATAATTTTACAATCAAAGAAGTCACTTTGTTGTAAAAAGAAGGGGGGAAATCATCTCTGACAAATTTATGCTAATTAGAAAGTTCCAGTTTACATAGGTCATATCAAATACCGTGATAATAATGCATTATATAATAATAAAAATAAAATGCGTTAATTGATTTTTTTCAATTCAATTGAAGATTTAGGGATAAAAATTGAAACATAGCACACCTTATCAAGAAACGTCGTGTAGATTACAGATGCACGTATTTAGCCTAATTTACAAGTCTCTTACGTAATGATACTCTTAATCAGTACGCAGACAGGTTGCAAAATGTAATTAATATATATAATTCGTATATAAATTATGCATATAGTGTTTGTCATGTCTGTCTGCAGTCCTTCCGTCTGTTCGTCCGTCATCCTTTGCACTTATAGCTGGTTTTTTTAGCGCAATTGTTCAAGATAGTTTAACCAAAATCCAACACTGAAAAAAAAAATGATATGAGCTATTCAATTGTGTTAAAGACCATAGAATTTGCGAGATGCTGACTTTGAACGATGTTGTAGAAAACTCTGTAACATCAAGTTACTTGTCAGTAGCCTGCCTCAGTTTAAAAATTAAATTGTAATCAGAACATGCGCTTGCACTTTGAGTTTATAATTATGGGAAACATAAACACCATATGCATGTAACTGTGGAAGGGAAGTTGGCAGCACCTTGTGGAAAATATTCTGGTCTACTTACTGATCAGACATTAAATAACTGTATACTACAATATGTTCAATAGAACCCCAGCCTAGCACCAGCCCTATAGTCTGGAGCCATTGATTTCACAATTTAAGTACAGACATACTTCACATATGCATTCCATGTGAGAAGACCTTTCTTTAGATACAAAGGACTTTGACCCTTTGACCTTGACTTTGGAGTTTGATCTACTTTTGAAAAACTTTAACCTTGGCCATAACTTTTGAACAGTCGGTGTTAGGTCTTTCATACTTCACGTATGCATTACTTGTGACAAGACCTTCCTTTGGATACCAACAATTTTATTGACCTTGACCTTGGAGTTTGAACTACTTTTAAGTATGAAAACCCTAGCACTAACTGTTCAAAAGTTATGGCCAAGGTTAAAATTTTTCAAAATTGAAGTAGATCAAACTCCAAGGTCAAGGTCAAAAGGTCAAAGTTGTTGGTATCCAAAAAAAGGTATTGTCACAAGAAGTACACATGCGAAATATGAAAGACCTAGCACAAATCGTTCAAAAGTTATGGCCAAGGTTAAAATTTTTTCAACAGTAGGTTAAACTCGAAGGTCAAGGTCAAAGGGTCAAAGGTGTTGGTACCCAAAGGAAGGTCTTGTCACAAGGAATACACATGTGAAGTTTGAAAGCCTGTTCAAAAGTTATAGCCAAGGTTAAAGTCTCATAAAATTTTGCAAAAGTGGATCAAACTCCAAGGTCAAGGTCAAAAGGTCAAATATGATGGTACCCAAAGAAAGGTCTTGTCACAAGGAATACATATGTGAAATATGAAAGCCATAGTTCCAACCAATCAAAAGTTATGGGCAAGGTTAAAGTTTCTGCAGACAAACAGACACTTCAGACAGACGAACGGACAGGGCAAAAACTATATGCCCCCGAATCTTCGATTACGGGGGCATAAAAAAAATGAATTTTCAAAAATTAAATTCATATTATATATTTACACAGTCAATTTATCCGATGACTTGCCAAATTTTATGTAATTCGACCATCATTTTTGAAACAATAAACAATTTGCACAATAGTTTTGATGTCCAGTCAGTATTGATGTCACAATGGAGATACTCATGCTCAACCATGGAAGTTCATGAGAAAATGAACCATTTTCTAAATTGCATAGAATCTTAGAGAAAATTATTTGGAAATGTAAATATACTGTGCGTGCTACAGAAAATGTAGTGTACATAATATGTGATGATTTATATGAAGTACTTTGCAGTCCAAACGGTGAAAAGTGCATGGATAACCTGGGAATTGACATAGTAGGACATTGAATGGTGTATGCATTTTCTAAATGAAAGATACATCTAGTGCATGCTTACAATATAGCAATTGATGTCAAAAAGTGCCCCTTTCTACTTCCGTTTAACAATGACTTTCAGATCTTTCAAAATATATAAAGAATTATATTCCATTCTACTTTTAATCCTATGAAAAACATTCATCACCTATGAGGATTTTTTCATTTTCCTTAATAAGATTGCTCAACTTTTAAAATTAAAAAGAAAATTGCAATTTTTTAGTTTTAATTCAAGGATCGTGCATCACTTCAATAAAACCTCCTTTTCTTCACTAAATTTATTTTCATTTCTCATTTAAGGATCAATAAAATAATTCACAAAATGCAAAGTTTTCTGACAAAAAGCAATTTTAATAATATAAGCGTAAAATATGGGTATATAGTGAGAGAAGGGGACTGTGGATATTTTTCAAACCTTCATTTTTTGCGAGTGATGTCCCTGAAACAATTATCACAAACACGGACTGGTTTTTTAGCCAGAGCTAGCCTCGCTTCTTTAGATGAGCAATCATTGCAGAAAATATTCCCACAGTTTCTGCAGTGATGCTAAAGAAAACATAAAGAAGAACAACTAATTATACTTCATTTTATATAACAAAATCTTGATCAGATACATACATGTAAATGTAAACTTGTACGAAAAAGAAATATCACTTTATATGACAAACTTCATGATCTTTTAATATAAATAATTATGATTTTCTATTCATAACACCAGGTTCAGTAAATAAATATTAATTATAGACAACCTGTTATAATGCAATTTGGAATGTATTCAGCACCATAAAGATTATAAAACTACTATAATATATTCCAAAATACATAATCATTGGCAAGAAAATATTTCAGATCTCCATTCATTTTCAGTTAAAAACAATTAAATATTACTTTAGATCTTCCTTGAAACTAAGTTCATGTATATTTAAATAATAATAATTATTATTATGCTTTTCATTTCATTCTCCAATAAAAAAAAACTTCTTGCATGACTTAAAAACTCTGAAGTACAATGCATAAAAATAATAGTTATCAAACATATTTGAAATGATATGCAAAGTTCTGAAATTTAAAAACTGTCTTCAATTCAATAATAAATGCTATAAAACAATTAAATGCTATAATAATATGCAATATCAACATACAATATGCTGCCTATATAAGTCCATAACATGACTGGGGATATGTAGTTATAATTCAGATATCCTCAGTAAGTTTTTACAAAATTAAAAAAAAAACATCAAAAAAAATTCAAAATGTTAAGGGCAGTTATTATCATCTCTTGCCGATTTCAATAAAACAATTGTCACACACTCGTACGGGTTTTTTAGACGACACGATTTTGGCCTCTCGGGAAGAACAGTCATTACAGAAAATGCTTCCGCAGTTTCGGCAATGGTGCTGAAAACAAAGAGTAGATTTAACAAGGATTACACAAAAGTTGTCATGACAACAGGAACCTCTTTACTGGAATCCTACAAGAAATCTAAAACAATTACGGCTTTTTTGTAATTATTTTGAGGGCATTGTGAGATATATATGCAAATTACATTGAGTGTCAGGCAGGGAGCATGGAAAAAAGCTTTACGTTTATAGATTTTTATGGCATACATGTG